CGGCCGGCCGGCCGCTCCAGCCCGCGGCGCAGATGGCGGTGCGCGGCGCCAACACCTTGACGCCCTTCTCCATCCAGGCGATCCTCAACAAGAAAGAGGAGCGCGGCGGACTGCCCGCGCCCGACGGGCGCCCGGTGCCTGGGGGCACAGCTGTGGCGGTGTCTGCGGCGCCCGCCGTCTGCTGTTGGAGGCTCTTTGGGGAGACAGACGCGGGCGCGCTGGGGGGCGCCGAGGACTCTCCGCTGGCGTCTCCTGCCGGGGCCAGAACGGCTGCGGGGCAGAACGCAGAGAGCCCAGGCTGGGACTCGGACTCCGCGCTCAGTGAGGACAACGAAGGCGGTCGGCGCTGCGCGCACGCGCCGGGGGCCAGCGGAGCCGGTCGTGCGGGGGGGACCCTGGGTCTCGGCCAGCCGGTCTGCGAGCTGCCCGCCGCCAAGGACCTGGAGGAGGAAGCCGCGGGCCGGAGCGACAGCGAGATGTCGGCCAGCGTCTCAGGTTCGCAGAGGCTGGGGGAAAAGGGCCGGGCCGGGCGGAAGGGCTGCGCACCGAGAGCGACTTCGCGGAGCCGGGTGGGTGGGCCTGCGGTCCGCGCTCTGCGCCCTCGGGCCGGGCTGGGGACTCACTCGAAGCTGGGGCCGCTGGTGCGGGCTGCTCTAACCCCCGGGAACTGAGCTCAGAACCCCACGTCCTGGGACAGTGTGCTCTGGACCGGCGTGGGGAGAAGAACCACTGCACCCGGGCCGTACCGCCCGGTGCCAGCTCGGGGTTGGAGGAGGGTGAGGGACCTGGAGACCTCGGGTAGCCAGCACCCTGGCCAGGGAGCGGCCAGGGAGCAGGGACGCTCTGGCTGTAGATCCCAGGGTAGCAAGTGATGCCTCCAAGTGGCGGCAGAGAGAGGACCTACCCCCACAGGCTTGGTTTGTTTAACTTCTTGGGGATCCTGCCCTGGACTGAGGCCCTAAGGGCTGCAGGCAAACCCAGCAGGCAGCTGAGGGCAGAAAGGCTTGATTTGGGCCCTACCGAAAGTAACATCCTTAGTGACGGGCTGGCATGTATGTCACTTGGTCAGTAAAATTCAGGCGTGTCTCCATGGGTGGACACTGCTGTAGGCCTCACGTTGGCCCCAAGCGAATGGTAGCTTCAGCCCAGCAGGCCTCTGCTAGGTGCCTACCGTGGAAGACCTGGGTTCAGGTTAGAACGCAAGGGTTTGAGGCAGACACACCCGCCACCGATCACGTCCAATGCCCAGCCTCCACTCATGCTCTGCAGAGAGGGAGAAGCCCCCGCCTTGGCACGGCCTACGGCTGGCCTGAGCCCCCCCCCCCCGCAGCAGAAACGGGTGGTTGGGGGGAGACTCCAGGGCGCTGGCTCCGGCTCCGCCTCGCCTGCCCGTTAGCCCAGCTGCCGCGTGTGTGCTGCGACGGTGCAGCGTGGAGACCCGCGGGTGGAGCGAGCAGAGAGGCCCGAGGGCAGCCTGCCGGCCAAGGCTCTGCGCGAC